CCCCCCCTTCAGGTTATATTTGGAGCGTCAGAAGAACAACTTCTTCATTCACTCTGTGGCATGCACAGGCACCGAGGTCCATCTGGCAGCCTGCCCCATGGAGTTCAGCAAGCCAAATGCCACATCGACCTGCACAGGCGGCATGCCGGCTGTTGTCAGCTGCATGCCGGGCCCTCAGTTCCTGCAGAACAGCAGCTTAAAAAAGAAAGTTAAAATTTCGGTAAAWTCATCTTAAAGTTTATGAAACGATATACAGTATATTAACTGCTAGCAAATGTTTTATAAAGATTATTGACATTGTTTGAACTAAACAGCCACAGTAACAGTGATTATCCACCAGCTTACTGAGACAATTAACTCTTCAGAGTAACGTGAGACTGAAAGGAGGCGCGAGGCTGGGAGAAGGCCGGGTCGAGGTGCTGAGAGACAGCGAGTGGGGGACGGTTTGTGACGACCGCTGGAACCTGCTGTCAGCCAGTGTCGTTTGCAGGGAGCTTGGCTTCGGCAGTGCAAAGGAAGCTCTTAATGGTGCACGAATGGGTCAAGGTGAGAGTTAAAACCGTTGAATGAAAATACTGGTTCAGTTTAAACAGCAGGCTAAAACGCTTAAGTGTTGTGATGCATAAACAAAACTTTTACGACAGTTCATTAAAATGTAACAAGTTGGGGTTTAATGTTTAAAGTGTAACTAACCACTCCCCTGTGAAACCATAACCTCACCCCCAGGCAAAATTAAAAAATGCCAACAAAGTGGGAGTTACCAAGGAACACTGAGGGGCACGGCCAAGTGTGAGGATGAGCAAGTAGGCGCGGTCAGGGCGAGGGAATGTGACAAGCTAGCATTTCTGAAAACGGGTCCACTCTCCTGCACGTTTTACACCAGTGGTGTCCAAAGTTGGTCCTCAACGGCTGGTGTCCTGCATGTTTTAGGAGCTGCTCTGGTTCAACACAGCTGAACCTAAGCAGTGCCTAATTAGCAGGCTTCCTCAGAACGCCATCAAGGTCTGCAGAGGCTTACTAATCAAGCACTCCTTAGGTTCAGCTGTGTTGAACCAGAGCAGCTCCTAAAATATGCAGGACACCAGCCATTGAGGACTGACTTTGGACWCCAATGTTTTAGAGGTTTCGCTGCTCCAACACACATTTAAACAAATGGGTTGAAGATATAATTCAATCACTGAATCAGGTACGTTAGAGCAGGGAAGCAAATAAAACCTGCAGGATAGCGACCCTCAAGGACCAGGATTGGACACCTCTGATCTAAATACAATTTGTGTAGAAAGTGTGCACTCCATCTGTCAGCAGTTTGTCTCTTAAAAAAATTAATCTGCCCACCCCGCCCCCAACCCAAAAAAAAATTCCAACCATGTCGTATAGAGTGACTTTGAGCTATATAAATTATGTGGCTAAGTGTGTGTGTGTGTGTTTGTGTGCTTCTCATTAGTGATTTTCCTTAACAAGGAGGAAGTGTGTACATGAGTAAACTTCCCAGAAGTTCCACTGATGCAGAAACAAGCAGTCTTTTTGAGGATCGGTTCCCAGAAATCCTGGAATGTCCCGTCCTTGTGTTTCTGCACATTCACGATGCTGTCCTCAGATGACGTTGACTCAGGAGGTTGACCTATTGGAGGAAGCTGCATACCTGTGGTATGCCTCCATTGATGTCCAACCACTAGCAGGCAAATTAGTCCGAGAAAGTTCCACGAATGTTAGAAATAAGAGCTGCTGAAGGGCCGCCATTCACAGAATTTACATAATGCGCTATATTATGGACCGGTGACATAAAGTGGTGATTTAAAGCAAGGTGTCAAGGGCAGAGCGCTCTCTGTCAGTCACACATACAGTATATTTATGACATTTGGTTTCTTTGATTCTCTTTGTTTCCAGGAATTGGTCCGATTCACATGAACGAGGTGAAGTGTCTCGGACAAGAGAAGTCCATCTGGAACTGTCCGTTTAAAAACATCACATCAGAAGACTGTCAGCACGTGGAGGATGCTGCGGTTCGCTGCAACGTGCCTTACATGGGCTTGGAGAGCTTGGTCAGACCTAACCGTCTTTACTAAAATGTTTCATTTCAAACCTGCTGAACTGATCGTTTGACATGCAGTGCTGAGAAAAACGTGTTTATACCCCTTGAACTTTTCCGCATTTTGTCGACCCAAAACTTCAAAGTATAGGTCAGTAGGAGGATGGCAGTGGTGGGTGGGTACAGTTTTTGTTAATCTGCTAGCAGCTAATAGCAGACCCAACTAASCATTTTTGYTAACTTTGGAAACTGTTWGCWGACAAATTGTCAGTGTCTCAATTTAGAGGKTGCAGCCGAAGGAGTGTGCATTCGTAGCCCGGTTATGTCACTGCGCTCCACCGAAGGCCGTCCCATTTTGTGGGCTCCTTCTCATACAGCTAACAGGTGCGGCCCATAGAACCCCGAAAACAAACGATGCATCTGATTATCCTTCATGGCTAACGTTATCCCAGGATTCATTGCTCAGTCATTAATTTTTACAGAAACACATAAAAAGTCCCCGTGTATAAAAAAAGAGCGTTATAGAGAGGTTGAATCTCTCAGAGCTGTGATGGACATGCGATCTGTCCAGGGCGTGGCTCGCCCGTTGCACTGGGACTGCTGCAGATGGACGCCAGAGACCCCCGTGACCCTGAAAGGATGAAGGGTGGATTCTTTAAAAAGTAAAGATGGGCAGAGGTTCACCTGTGCTGTAGGGACAAAGAAGCTGGTCTGTTGAGAGGAACATGGATGGAGTTAAATACAGAACAGAAAGKGAATTGTGGTTGTAATAAAATGTGGAAATGTTCAAAGGCATAACTGCTTTTTCAAAGCCCTGAATTTGTGTTGTTTTTATGTTGACGTGATTATTGAGCAAAGGTTTAATGTGTGATTTTTCTTATACACTGCCTGGCCAAAGAAAAAGTAAAAAACGGAAATGACATGTGTGACATTGCAGAAGCTTATGAAAACAATGCCACGGAGAACGTGTGCCGTAATCAAAGCTAAAGAAGGTCCAACGAAATGTTAGTGTGTGGTCTTCTTTTGGTGGTGACTTTTTTTGCCAGGCAGTATGTAAGACTGGAGCGTGACATCATTTTAATTGTTCAGCGTTTGCTTTAGTAACTTGTTTTTTGTTTGTCTTCCMTGCTCGTACATTCTTGTTTGAGTTTGCAGAGATGTGAAAGGCAAAGCTAACATGAGCAATAATAAAACAACTTGTCACATCTTTAGTAACACACAATCAATCAGTGCTGTCAGGGGAAAAAATGTTTATTTTTGTTAAGTTTAATGTTTTTCATTCATCAGAGTTGTTAAAATGTATGATTCATCATTGACTTTCTCCCAAAAACTGGCTATTTGAAAACTTTTTTTTCCTGGTAACACTGATTTTTCCATAACATAGAATATTTGTAGTTGCACTATTCTTGTTTTCCAGTTTTCCATGCCTTCTGTAGTTACACATGCCAGACTAAAAATTCTATAACTTTATATTTTTGACAATAGCAGAGCTCCTATTGTCTGTTTTGAAAGAGTTTTTATCAAATCAAGCTCCTGTGTAGCTACCTTTTAGCTTTGTGCTTCCTAACCCCTCATTCTCACTCAGATCCGGATCACAGGAGGACGAACCCGCTCTGAGGGCCGTGTTGAGGTGCTGAGCTCAGACTCTAATGGCACACAGAGCTGGGGTTTGATCTGTGGTGAGAACTGGACCACCAGAGAAGCCTCAGTGGCCTGCAGGCAGCTGGGCCTGGGCTACGCTAACCAGGGCCTGCAAGTAGGTTTACTAACACGGCGAGAACAACTGTCTGCAGCTCAAAAAACAAATGGCTTTTTTGTACATATGCAAAAATAATATTCTGTCAGATACGCCCAGTGGCCTTCAYCTTTGGTGTAAAGCTTTTAACAACTATTTAAATAGTTTTTAGATTTTAGTACAACTTCAGTTTGGAGAATTACAGTTCAAGTCTTGAACAGGAATAACAAGCTAATGGCTACTCTGAATGCATCTATAACCAAAGTGAATTACAACCACTTTAAAACTGCTCTGATCTCATACATTTTGATTGCAGAAAGCATTATTTTTCTGTGTTTGATCAAAACAGCTGCTACTCTGTCATTTCTCATAAAGAGATGATCTTGGTCTCAAACTCTTTAATGAAAGGCTGAGGGCAATCCTTCAAGGAACGCTAGGCCTTTCTATTTACACAAACTGTGACGCTTGTTTGCAAACACAAATATTGGCAGTAGTGGTACGTTAAGGCTGCCATGATTAGTCGACTAGTCGACGACTAATCAACTATTAAAATAGTCGATGACTACTTTAATAGTCCATTAGTCTTTTTTTTTTTACTTTGTTTTTCTCTCCAAACTGCTTTGACACCTTCCACTGCCACATCTGCCTTTCTGTCCTTGACACACATGCACAGTAGTGGAAAGTGGGGTAGGCCGTGGACGTCACAAGACATTATACAGACAGGCTCTGGTATCATGGCTACCTGACAACGGAGCTCAAAGTGTGGGAACTTTTTAAGAAAATGAAAGAGAAACGTGTGCAATATCTGCAGAGCAGAACTTGCCTTCCACTGCAAATATTTTTAGTTAGCATAGAGCTAAAATTTAACGATGGTTATATAATAGCAGCTGCATTCTGGCATGATAAGCTCTATGTTTTATAGTCAATTAACGTATGATCTGATTAGTCGACTAATAGAAAAAAATAATCGGTGATTAATCGATTATTAAAATAATTGTTTGTGGCAGCCCTAGGGTTAAGTTTTACACTTTCAGTCTGGGATGAATTCTGATTTTTTATATTTCTACAGAAAAAAAATATGTAATATCAAGTGATGGAGATGAGGTAAAACAAAAGCATTTAGGTGACTTAAAATGGAAGTTTGAAAACTGACACTGGTTTAAGATGGCAGTGATC